TAGGATCATAAGTCAGCCCATACTGCTTCGAGAAGTTGGTCTCTCTGAATTCCTCAAGTGGAATCAAAGCTGCAAAACCGTTCACACATACCAAACATGTGCATGATCGAACATGTTAAACACAAAAGTCTAAACTCCTAGGAAAAAGATTTGGTAATTTATATCCAATGAGTCGAAAAATTGAAGGGAAAGTATATCCGAAGCTAATAAGTTACGCGATCCGGTGTCTTCGAATAGCTGCTTCCTGGTATGATCGGATTTGGGAGGCTGAACATGGATCAATATCATCTGGTCACCATCGTCCACGAGGTTCTCCGCCACCCACCTGAGCGCCGCCCTGCTCGTCGGGGAGTAATCCATTCCGATCCCGACTACTCGGTTCTTCCCCATCTCTCTCTTCCTATTCTGGCTATCAGGAAAAGCTACAGGAGTGTAAAGATTCTTGAAGGCGCCAGAACAAGCAGCTGGGTGAGAATTTATATATAGAGGAATCCCTAGACAAAGCTATTCAAAGCTTTATTCCTCGGCAAATATGTCAATTCCCTTATCAAAGAATAAAGAGTCAGGGCACTTGGGAGGAATAAGAGCATAAAGCAGAGGCCACTTGGCAACTAGGGAATTTCAAAATCCAAGCATACAGAATGAAATTAGCGAGAAGCGTGAATTTAGCTTGACCCCATCATATAATTCGAGGTTACATGCGTGTATTTATATAAAGGAAGAATCTCATGATTCCACCTTTGAGTGGTGTACACGTGACAAAAGGTTTTATCTCTTTGTTTGGGTAATAAGAAAATACAAATTGTGTGCTTATACGAGTGGCTTCAGTCATGATTATGTCATTAGCTTGGTAACATTTTTGGGAGAACCAGTCGGTCCAATTGGACTAAGTGTAGGAGCGGCCTTCATCTTCCTCGCACACCATCAGGAATCGGGTAACATCTTGGGAATCGGAGAAAAATAGCAAAATCTTATGTTGCCTTCTTCAGTCAACTTATCCACGTCATGTACACCACCTTGGTTGCTTTTATTGACTATTACTGCTTGACTTAGGCCTAAACAATGGGCGGACTGGTCTGCGTACCACTCCAAAATATCTTTATGCAAGTAAGTCTGCTCTTGCTTTAAAAAATATCAAGACGAAATTACACAAAACTCCCCCAACTTGGGGTAGCGCACGCATGTCCCTAAACTTTCAATTATTACACAATACTCCTTGAATTTCCATTTTGGTACAGTTGTTAACTTCCGGTAAATTTTGTGTTAGTATAAGCAATGCACATGACTCTTAGGCTGCGTTTTGTTGTCCGGATATGAATTGAAATATGATAAGATAAAGTGGGATTACAAATCCTTCGGATTATGAAAAATCCCATCATATGTTTGATAAATGTCCAGATATAACATGGATATCGGGATTGCTTTCCACCATGCAGGTGATCTCCTACGGACGACGGTGATGATAGCCACGACCATCATGCCAAGCTGCGACATAGCCTGGTGGCATCCCATAAATCTAGAACAGTGACCATCATTGAGGTGGTCGCACTCCTAAAACCATGGTGGCTGTGCTCGTCGAAGGACGGCAACACAACAAGGCGGCTAACACAGATCAATGCAGGCAACAATAAGGATCAAATATCATTTAATTCCTTACACTTCTTGTTCAAGAATAAATTCTTAGATGGAACTCCGAGTCTACCTTCTTTCTGCAGAATTGCAATGAGCACTTCCTTTTCCCGTTACATTCCTCACGTTCATATGATCAAGGCTATTCATTTTTTAGCTCTAACTATTTTCCCCCATTTCATGATTTTCATTATCACAACGTAACACATCCTGTCACAAATATTATAGAAAAAAAACAACTTCCAAATTTCTTCGTGATGAATGCTTAACCATAGCATCAAGAAACTTATTAATTAATTATTATTCTGATGAATGGAATCTTTATTTCGACCAAAAAAAAATTCAAGTGCCCAGGACACCTACCACCGAAAGAAACCTGTAGTTTGATTAGACCTTTGATTATTTCTTATGAAAAAAACCATGAAGGATCTACACAGTTGCAGTTGAAACATGTCAGGTATCTACCGCCTAAGTGGACCACGTTAGCTGGAAAATTACAAAAAAAAGTCATAAACCTTTTATAATTGTGCTAATTCAGTCATAAATCTTTTTTTTAGCCAATTCAGTCCTAAACTTTTTGCAATTGTGCCAATTCAGTCCATCCGGCCACTTTTGGCCGGCCGGCGCTGACGTGGTGGCGGCCGGCGTCCACATGGCAATATTTTAATTTTTTTTTATTTTCGAATTTTTTTCCTTTTTTCTTTTTTTTTTTTCTTTTCCTTCTCCCCCCTGGCCTGTCCGGCCAGGGGGGAGGCTCGCCGGCGAGGCGAGCTGGGCCCTCGCCATCGCTCGGCGAGCTCCGCCCTCGCCGGGCGAGCTCCGCCCTCGCCATCGCTGGGCGAGCTCCGCCCTCGCCCAGATCTAGCGAGGCGGAGCTCGCCATGGCAGGGCGAGCTCCACCTCGCCATATCTGGGCGAGGTGGAGCTCGCCCGGCCAAGGCGAGCTCGCCCGGCTCCGGCAAGGCCGAGCTCGCCATGCCTCGCCCGGCTCCGGCGAGGCCGAGCTCGCTCATGGCTGGGCGAGCTCCGCCTCGCTAGATCCGGGCGAGGCGGAGCTCGCCCGGCTCGGCGAGGCGGAGCTCGACGAGGCTCGCGTAGCGGCGGCGAGGGCGAAGCTTGCCCATGGCTTGGCGAGCTCCGCCCTCGCCGCCGCTAGGCAAGCCTTACCCAGCTCCGGCGAGGCGGAGCTCGCCCAGCGGCGGCGAGGGCCCAGCTCGCCTCGCCGGAGTTGGGCCCTCGCCGGCGAGCCTCCCCCCTGGCCGGACAGGCCAGGGGGGAGAAGGAAAAGAAAAAAAAAAGAAAAAAGGAAAAAAAATTCGAAAATAATAAAAAAAATTAAAATATTGCCAAGTGGACGCTAGCCGGCGCCACGTCAGCGCCAGTCGGCCAAAAGTGGCCGGATGGACTGAATTGGCACAATTGCAAAAGGTTTAGGATTGAATTGGCAAAAAAAAAAGGTTTTGGACTGAATTGGCACAATTGCAAAAGGTTTAGGACTTTTTTGGTAATTTTCCCCCACATTAGCATAGCACTGGACATACGAGATCTAGGGCTTGGTTGATCTTAGATTCGAGATCCAAGGTTCGACCTTGCCGTTCGAGCTTGGGCTCGATACAGCCTTGCTCAGTGAGAATCAATGGTGACGGGCTGTCGTGGAGGCGACGATAACCGCACTGTGGTGGGAAGTGACAACGATTTCGTGGTGGTGGTCCTTGTGCAACTCTGGAAGCAGTATCCGAAAGGTCACTTCATTACTCCATCAATGGAAAAAAGGGTTAGTTAAGTTATTTGTAAAAAAAAATTATCCAATCCGGATTTATCCAGCCCCTCCTCCGAATTTCTTATCCGGTATTTTATCTAGATATATTCGGTCCAGAGGACATTACTAAACACCGGATATGATAATTTATTATCTTATCCGGACCACCAAACACGACCTTAAAGGATAGATTAGCACTATTATCTCATTAACTGAAGAAATCTTTCTTTCCTCCTCGATAGAACGAAATGGAGGAAAACAAATAATCTCCAGTATTAATTATTAGAAAAGTAACTATTACTATAATATAAAAAATAATCAAGTGTAAAAAATCATGGATACATTAATAGATTTAATAAGATATATTGAGAAAAAGACACACAATTAAGTAAAAAATGAAAAGTACCTAGTAGCAAAAAGGACAAATAACAAAGTTTATATATCTTAAAAAATCACCTCAGATTTTGATTCATCGTTTCATTTCTTGAGTTGAGGACACAATTATGTATTTTTTTTACATGGCTAACTTATGCAAAAAATATTAATCGATGAAAAATAACTTAAAAAATCACCTCAGATTTTGATTCATCTTTTCATTTCTTGAGTTGAGGACGCAATTTCCTTTATACTTTCTTTAAAATGTTTTTATTAATCAATAGTTGTTTACATCAATTATGCCTACCCATCTGTCATTAGTATTCTAGTTAATTAATCTTCTCCCATTTTATTTATTCTTCAATTTTTAATAGAAATCGAGGATGAAATTTCATCTATTACAAGTCATTTGATTTGCACATACTAACAAAAAAAAAGTTAACAAGTATAACAAAATGAAAGTTAATGATGACATTGTGCAACGGTTAAAAGTGCAGAGGCAAATTTGTATTACCCTCGAAATTCATGGAAATTTTATGTAAGTTATTAAAATATAAAAATTTCTTATGAAAGTGAATTATTCTATACCGTCTTAATTAAACTAGCTCAAGTCATAGAGAGCAATAGTTTGCCTAGATTCCTAATTCGGCTCAAGCCTGGACGGGACCTAATGAGCCACTAAATCTATGATCAGGTCTGATATGAATCACATCCCCGTTCCTCCCTAACATGTTCAAACTTATGGTAAATACTCATGGGAAGGAAACCTTGCCAAGCTACCAGAACATTGCTCTTGGACCATACGAAGCATTGCCGATTCGACAATCATAAGACGAACCATACCTCATGAGCTGCTCCAATTTCCATCCAGTAAAATTTGATCAACAATGGAGCTCAAGCAGCCAAGATATATATAACTTAGCATTGCCTGACGAATTCAACCAGTTTGAATTTAATCACTCATTAAATGCTCATAAGGACCGAGCCACCTCCTCTCTAGTCTCTAAGCTTGGGCGAACTTCACTAAAGAAAATTAAACCACTCCATTCTTACAAATATTGATTGCATATGTACTTAACATTGCATTGACACCCTCCTCAAGAAATCCATTCCTATGTCCAGGGACATCATCGTACGGTTGGCTCATTGCTTTCGAATGATCAATCCATGGCTGCACGAGTTCTGCTGTCTAATCACTTGACAAATACGATTTACATTGAAAAAAGAGGAGAAGAAGTGAAAAATGAAAATAAGTGATGCCAATAGACAAGATGACACGATACAGCCACGTCCAGCATGGCTCTTAAAACCCTCAGAACACATATCAAGTCTCATACATGAAGTATCATGTCTGCAATTTTCGCATCATAGGATAAGCACAACACCAATGACAAGGGAAGCCCTAGAGCTTACTAGTGATGTTGACATTGCGAACTCGGGAAGGCTTTGGGGAAGCATCTTTGGGGACGACCACCGTCAGGACGCCATTTTCGACCTGGGCCTTGATCTGATCCACCTTCACATGTTCTGGCAACTCGATTTCCCGAGAAAAACCGCTCCTGTTCGCCCCTCGCTCGGCTATGTGCCACGCCGCGTCCTTCCCGGGCAACTCTTCCTTAGCACCCTCTCCCCTTATGTGCAGAATGTTGCCGTCTTCAATTTGCACCTTTATGTCCTCCTTGGCAAATCCTGCTCGCATCAAATGCCTCATTCAACTCTTCTCCCACAAAGACAGTATATGTTGCCGTTCTCCAAAGACTCGTTTTTGTTGGGATCGAGCGAATCCAAAGTGTTACCGGATGAGGTCTCGTGCTTGGCATCGGAGAGGGAAGTGATAGAATGGGCTATCGAGGGATGTCTAATTATCATAATGACTTGAAAGAGAAATATAATTCCTCATTATATGATGATTAAAGTGGATGAAAAGGTTGGTCAGTTGATCTGCCCCGCAAAGTTTCGACGCTAATACATGGATTGCATAGACTAAATACAACACTAACTATTGGAATCATCTATATCTCGAGGGAAAACATAGCCACTCGTCTGAAGCTACTTAAGAAATCCAAAAATGTATGCAAATGAATTAAGATTGGCAAGGGGATTCACAAGATGGAAACGAACCCAACTATCTTGTAATTCCCCTAGTGTGTTAGAGAGGAGAAAACAGAGCATACCTGGGACGTTGACCTTGAAGGTGTGGGAATTAGCAGACTCAATCCAGTCCATGAGAGCTGCTGATCCCGACCAATCCCGATAAACGGTGGGGCTCCAGAAGAGACGCCTGAAGGGGTATCCCAAAATGCCATCCGCCATTGCCAAACCCCACTGGATTGCTCTGTATCTGTCAAACGCTTCAGTTCCCTGTGCTATTCTCTGGTTCTTGAACCGTGTTGGTTTGGTTTGGTTCGGTTCGTCTTCTCTTTCCTTTTCTTTTAAGGCAATTCCACGAGGGATCGGTGATTGTCCAGAAGGTTCTTTGATGATCGATGATGGTGATGAGTAAGGACAAGGGAAGAGGCTTCTTGGGCTACATCCAGGCCACCGCACGACAGAGGATGAATCCAGAATCCTCCCAATTTAACCAGTCTGGTTTACTTACGGAAGTGATCGATTGTTACTCAATATTAGTTTCTGCTGAAGTTGCATAAATTCATATGAACCCAATGACAAGTATAATCCTTGCACGTACATTCATTCCTATGTGGGTTTTTGGTTATCAAAATTACGCTGGCAATCCTGACAATCAAATCTAACATTTAATGCGGAAAATAACGATGGTCCAGTATTATGATGATTATAATGTGGTAAAATGACATAAATGGTCCCTGAACTTTGGCATAATGTGCAATGTCGTCCATGAACCTTTAATTTGTTTAACGTGGTCTATAGATTTTTGGTACGTATTTTTTTTTCGTCGAAAACTTTTGATACATGTTCAATTTGAATGTTTAATATTGTTTCCGAACTTAAATTAACGGAAGAATAACATCGAATATGTACCAAAAATTCATGGACCACATTAAAAAGAATCTAGGGATCACATTGAAAAAGTTAAAAACTCGAGGACCGTATTATACATAAAGATAAAAATTCAATAACTGTTTGTGTCATTATCTCTTGTTCCGGACGAATCGAGAATCAAGATAACAGAGCAGCACTTACACCCCCAATCAAGGGGCGTCTCTACGGGCCCAAGCTGGGCCCGATTCAGGGCTCTTGGGCCCGATTCCGGCAGAGCCCAAACCTCCGAAATCCAATCCCGAATAGGAAACAGGAAAGTCTCTTCTTAAGGCCCACCACGCGCTGAAGAGTTTTAGGGCATTAGAAACCGAAACGGAAACACCAAGCTCTTCTCTTCTGCCTGTGTAGAAGCTTCGAACCAGAGAGAGAGAGAGAGAGAGAGAGGGAGAGCGAGAGACAGGGAGGAGGAAGAAGAAGAAGACGGCGACGACGAAGACCTGCATCTGCTGCTGCTGCGGCGTACCCACCTAATCGCTTCCCCTTTCCTCCTTCCAATCGGAGGTCGACCCGCTTGGGGAATCCCTCTTCACGAGGTGCGTGCGCGCGAATCTCTCTCCTCCTTTTCTGTGTGCGAGTTTCGGGTCTTTTTCCGTGTCCGACGACGGCGTCCTCGTGATTGGATGGGCTGGGTCGGAGGCGAGATCGGTTTTTTGATTTGGGATGATGCCAAAGTCTCGATTTTTTATCCGTGCTTACTCTCTTTTTTTCTCCTGCTTCGGTGCCGTGGCGGTCGATTCCCTCCGTAGATTAGATTAAAGTCTGCTGATTTTTGGTCTCGGTCGTTGCTCGCGTGTTTGTGTCTTCTTTCCCATTCGGTTCGCTGGCGCTAATTGCTGTCTGCGCGAGCTGAATTCCAAGTTTCGACACTCGATTCCGCCGTATTGCTTTACATATGTCTGTCGCTGTTTTGGGTCGCTCCAGATTCTTTTCTTTGATTACCGAGGGTTTTTGGTGCTAGATTAGCGACTTTTGGCAAATTATGTCATCTGTTATTGATCCCATCGTGTGATTCTGCTGTCATGTGTCTATCCAAATCGTAATGGATACATTGCTCGTGGCTAAGTTGCGAGGTTATCAATTAGGCAATTGTAGTTAATGCCAGAATATGAACTTCGTAGAGCTTATCGCACGTGCCAACCGCTGATGATTCGAAAGGTTTTTCTGAGGACTCCAATTTTGACAACCTTAGTTATCATAATGTTTAGATGTACAAGTGGACTTCATTGTGGCAAAGTTAGATGGGCCCCTTCATTAGATGATGGCGCACAGTAGGTTCAATTTGGGCAGTTTGATTCCTCAAATATTTAGTTACTTATTTTAGGTGATTTTGGAGGGGTGGAAGATGTACCATATCAAACTGATGACTGGCAATTCGATGATTAGTATATCGAAAATCTCACAACAAATTAAAATGACCTCTGTCTTGGTGATTTTCAACAGAAGAAAATTCAGCAGATCTCTTACTGTTATGATTACTGTGCAAAATATGGAAGCTTTTCTTCTGTGTTTATTGTTTGATAATATCTCGGAGTTTTTTTTATCGAATTGTCTGACAAATATTGTTGGTACAGGTTTCTGTTGTGAGATAAAATTTGGTGATTCTTTGCTAACAAGGAAAAAGTGCTGATGGAGGACTGGGGTAAGACAACTTTCTTTCTTTTTCTGAATTGTGCTTGTGATTTAGTAGTTACAAGGTGAATGGCTGTCATCATGACATTGCTTGTTGTGAATCGCGTTAATTATAGAGCATGGTATGTCTCATTGCAACTATATATTGTAAATTGTGAAGTCATTAAGAATTGTTAAATGGTGGTGAAATGGATGATCTATTGTATTTGTATATATGTCTTGTCTGATGCGATAGTTTCTATTTGAACCCCTTCTCTGATCTGGTTACTTTGATTGATGATTTCTCTTCAGAAGAAGATGAGCAAATTCCACCTCTTGTATTGAAGGAGCAACCAAAGAATAAATGGGATGATGAAGATGTGGATGAGAATGACATAAAGGAATCATGGGAAGATGAAGATGAACCTGCTCCGGTATGACCGATTGATCAACACTCATATGGGTGATTTTCTAGCTTCTGGAAGTTGAGCAGAAACTTACTAACTCCTAAACGGCAAATCAGCTTTTTATAGTGTTGTTATTACTTTATTAAGTGTTGCACCAATTGTAATGTAATAGCACCTTTATAGAAGATCCTTTGTGAGCTTTACTTTGTAGATGACGCATGGAAATTCTTTTGTGTCTTTCACTGTTGCAAAAGGGAATGTCATACTGATTGAGTCGGTGGGGATACAAAGATTGGTATAACCTCTTTCGGAATACCTCTGGAGATACTAAGATTTATGATTGTTGAGCTGGTGGAGATACAAAGATTGGAATGACCTATTTTGGAATACTGCTGGAGATACTAAGATTTGGTGTACAAAATTGTTAATGACAAATTGTAACTGTGGTAGTTAAGCATGTACGCCATATTCAATTACTCACAGGAGTTTGCCACCTTGCTCAGTAAATTAATCTTGTGTGTGGACGCTGCATTATTCCTTGTCTCAATTGCACTTGGTTTGTTTGGGTGGATTCTCCCTGTGAAGCATGATATTTCTTGTGTCTATCAGTCTTTTCTTGTGTGGTTTTTGGAGGAAAATAGAACAAAGAGGAAGGGTAATAGAGGACAAATTTGTTTGTGATGCTTATTATGTTCAACTCCTCAGATTAACTTTGCATTAATTAAATTGGTACTTGCTGCCTGTTGAGCTCAGGCACCTGCAGCTAAACCTCCTGTTGAAAAGGCTCCAAAGAAGTCTGTGGCAAAAGCAGCAGAGAAGAAGGGGAAAACAGTTGAAGTCGAGAAGCAAGAGCCACTAGATCCTGTTGCTGAAAAACTACGGCAACAGAGGTAACTTCTGTGCTTCTTTATATGTCCTTTAGCTGGATAATCGTCTGGAAAATGAGGTCTTATGGAATGACATTCTTCATCCTGAGGAATTTCTTACAAGGAGTGTATACTAATTTGCAGAAGTGATTACAATATCTGTTTATTTGGTTCAAATGTGGAAATTCTTAATGTCACTCGTCATTCTGCCTTGTTGAATAACTTTTCTCACGCCTTGAGAAACATTCATTTTGTATTACTTCTTGAGTTTTGTTCATGGGCGTTATATTATTGGTATATTTATCATGTTTATTTATTCAACAGATTAGTGGAAGAAGCTGATTACAAGTCCACAGCAGAATTGTTTGCTAAGAAAGGTGATGAGAAGACCCTTGATAATTTTATTCCGAAATCTGAAGGTGACTTCATCGAGTATGCGGAGTTGATTGCTCATAAGCTTCATCCATACGAGGTATTGTTATGTACTTATTTGCCTCTTGATTCTGGCACGGCATTTAAAATTTTACTGAATATGTCGTGTTCGCATACGCAGAAGAGTTTCCATTATATTGGATTGCTCAAGGCAGTGATGAGACACTCAATGACTACTTTGAAGGCGGCTGATGCAAAAGAAGTTGCATCTTCTGTTACTGCGATTGCCAATGAAAAACTAAAGGCTGAAAAGGAGGCCAATACTAAAAAGAAAACAGGTATCTTGTGAATTTCTGGATGAGCAAGTTCTGATCTTTTTGCCTTTAAAGATATCTAGATCTCTTGCCACTTCCAAAATTGGTTGAAGATCACGAGGCATTTCGAATAAGAGCACTCTTTTTTTTATGTACTATTTTATAATACTATTTTTTTTTATATTGGACCGTCCCCCTCGTCTTGGGAGAGGAGAATTCTTTTATTTTAATTCCGTTGGGGTTAATGTACAACATAGTAGGTGATGTGGGGCTTATTCTTATTTCCTTATTCTGGCTCACAACAGATTGAATAGACATTTTTAATTGTGAATAAGAGCAGAAGTTTGATAATTCATTCGAGGCTAATTAATTGGTTATAGTAGCATGGATTCTTTTTATCTGCTTGCAGTTTCATGCTGCTTCTAGAGGGGTGTTCTTGGAGGTCTTATTATATCGTTCTAACCAATGTGTCCTCATTTACAGGTGCAAAGAAAAAGCAACTCCACGTAGACAAGCCAGATGATGATATTGTGGTTGATGGATACGTAGCTCTTGATGATTACGATTTCATGTGAGATTTCTGTTGAGGGTCTTTTGTACTTGAGATATGGATTTTGGAGTATTGCGTTCCTGTTACAAAGTAAAGATAGAAAGTGGCGATCGGCAAATGGCGTCCGGTAGCCAGTTTTCGGAGATTGATAGTGAGCGTAGCCCCATGGTATGATGAATAAGAGAACTAGTTGAGGGTGTATCTAATTATAACGTCATAATTTTTACAGGCATTGCCATCTGAATATTCTTGGTTTTGCGATTCTCTTGGTTGGTTACTGTACAATTGTTGTGAACTGAATTGTGACCATTCTATTCTATGATCACTTCCTTTCATTCTTTCTTCTTTTGGTGGTTTTTTGTGTTCTTCCGTTTGGCCGGTGGCTGTGATCGACTTTAATGCTCATGTTGGCTGTGATCTGGCTTTAATGTCTTTGGTTGGATCGAGTAGCTTGTACGTCAAGAATATTAGACATAAGGGCTGCGATGGACATGGCGTACAAGCACTCGGGTGCCGGAGGGTGGGTCAGGTTTTGCGTATGCTACATGCTTCGCCTCTACAAATTAGTTTTATAAGGAAAATTATACGTATTTGTGGTACATGAGGAATACATGCCGGGTTTCGAGTTTTTGTGGAGGTTATTATTGGATTGCGATGTTTGTTATTACATGACATGGATTGTGATTGCTGTCATATGTCTGTTTTTTCTTGGTGAAGCTGCGCTTCTCTGCGATATGGCCAACGAAATTTCACCCTTTTTGGGAAACAGTATGTATGCGTCCATCACACTATTGAGGTGGTGAAATTGATCATTTATATTGACAAAGTATTGGTTTACATGGTAAGAAATCTCCCGAGCTTCTGGATCTGAATTTTGTTTGGAGCGCTCCATGAGTAAAATCTCGAATGCATTAGGCGGACGCGGGATAGTGCGCCCTTGGGATCCGCCACATGACAGGAAATACTGTCTTTCTTTGCTGGGCCTTCCAATTAACCACCACATTTGCTGTTGAAAAGGATTTGGCCATGTAATGTGTTCTTTATTTTCTTGGAACTTTCTTTGACTATCAGACATCCTCGACGGCTTTCTTCTTGATGGCTTGTAGATTTCACGGCCCCAAAAATGGGCCTGTGGATCCATATGGGACCGTTTTGGACATGAAAGAAGGTTTTTTGGTGACCAAGATTATACATGCCGGTATCATCAATTTGGACCACCATTCAAAAGGTTCCTTAATCATAGGGAAGAACAAATTAAAGAGTAGCTGATCATTTCTTTAAAGCTGAACTTGACTTTTGAGTCCATCTCCGCAGACAAAAAATTTGGTATCTTTCAGTTCATCGATTGCCTACGAAAACGACCCGGATTATATGGGGAGAAAAATATGGCCAGAAGAAAGATAAGTGACCTGGAAAAAATGTTGTTTTTATTTAGAATTTAAGAGCACGGGTGTGAGGACCCGACTACCTGGAGGTCCATATAAATCCAATTAAATGCAAACCTCTGGCCTGTCCTAACAATCCTGACTTAGTAAAGGTTGCACACAATTGATAAGATTCAGATGAGCAGCGTTCAGTACGCTCCATTGAATTGAGCCAACCATATGACGTTAATCTAGAGAAGAAAGTCAACGTTAATTGATAAATGTTCTCAACATTGGTCTTGTGATAGTAAAGTTGTGACATGGTTTACACTCTCTAAATCATGGAAACTCACGGCAAATGCATCTCAAACACTGGCATTCTTCAAGATGGGATTATGACACTAAGAGATTAAAGCGAGGCATATATCCCTTCAAAGAATGACTTCTCTGCAAACAGTTTCGTCCTTCAAATCATTTTAGAAGTTACCCAAACTAAGGCTATTCGCTCTTAATCTGTTGTTAAAGAAGTTTTGTGAAAGTTCATAGAAACTTCAGAATGACTTGATTACAATGTTGTGTCTAACTCATAATTATTGAACTAGATTATTTGAATGCGTTATTGAGCTCACGGTTCACTTTAAATATTTTGTTTCTTTAAAGCCTTAGACGGTACCATATCTGATTCCATACCTCATCATTCGAACAGGAAAATTTTCCAAAAAGTCCAAAATCTGTTGTAAAGTGGCCTTAGACGGCGAGAGTCTTCTTCTGTGCCCTATTTGCAAAGGACAAGCGCCTATTTGCAAGGGGTTCAAAAGTCGAGCGGTGCAGTGCATAGTTTTAAATTAAGGTGGTTATTTCAACGCATCTGGTTCTAAACTTTTGTATTACATTGAACAAATTAAAAGAGTAAGAATGAAACTTAAATGTCATACTAAATTTTGAGGGTCATAGGTATTATGATCCTAGGACAAAGGGGGAGCTTTTGAGAGATTAACATGTCGTCCATTTTATCTTACGTTGTTCTATATTTTCATGTACCTTGCAAATCATAACCCTTGTCAACCACATTTTGTATCTTCAAGAAGGCTACAATTGTTCACAATACTTCGAGATTATTATTTTCTATTAAATCTCATTTAATAGAAAATAATAATCTCGAAGTAGCCATTCTTCTGTTTTGAATTGTACTTCAAAACCTTTGTATTATTTTCTATTAATTGTATAATGTCAGGACGATTTTATTTGCATATTGCTGGTTCATCACTGTGTACATCTCCAGCAACCTCAAGCAACAAACAGATCAAGAATCATACAAAGGTATGGTCGTCTTTAAATCGATTGCGCATTCAGAAGGAAATGAGAAAATAAAATAAAAGGAATAAGCATAATTTGTGGAGCAAACCGGAATGCCATCTATATGTATCCTATATATCTGACTGTTTGATCCAAAATGGAAAAACAAAGAGGATGTTTTTATAGTTAGAAGTTGGCTAGTCTTTTGATCCTACAATCTCTCAAAACTAACAAACTGAACAATTCAAAACAGAAGAATGGCTACATCGATCAATAAATTCGACCATTTCACAGGCAATGCTTTATGCCTACCAAAGGTGACATTCCAAGCTCATCCCCAACAATCACAACGTCATCTTCTCATGATCTGATATCAAGACCATTAACTTTTTTTATCTGTTATTCAGACTCTAATGAGTGTAAACACTTCAGTCATCTTCCTTGCCTTGCCAATCTGGTCTTCCTAATGTAAACTCTAAACTTGGGTTCCGAGAACTCCGTGCAGCTTGCAATAATCTCTCCATCGTATCAGACCCCTGTCGAGAAGTTTCGCAAATGGCTCATGAGAATCTCTCAGTCCTAATCAAGACAAAACTAAAAGAAGAAACTGGCTTTTCAATGTCACAGTATCTTATACAAGAGAACTTGAAAATGTTTGTGTTTTCACCATCTCAGCAAACTCGTAGTCCATTCACACTACTAAGTTTGGTTAAAGATCTCAATTGAATACCTCAATGTGGAGATTTCTTCGATCTGAGTGGAATGGTGGCTGTCTGAGTCCATTCCCATCATCAGTTGGAATCACCTGCGGGCACACCTCTGATCTACTGCTGTTTGTGATCGAAAGCTACAATTTAGCTTATCGATCTTATATATGGACATCTGCTTAAATATACTGAACCCAAAAACTCCATACATAGACAGGCCATAGTGTCCTTTAACTTTGAGGATCGCTGATCAATCTTTTCTCTTGCATTCTATATAATGTACAGAAAACACTGCATGATCTGATCTATGGAATCTATGTCTTGATTCTGTTTAAATAAATTTGTAGTGAAGCTTTTACCTATTTTTACATTATACAATAGACCTTAAGCTTCATAGTGAAGGCAGTGACCATTAGTTTGGCAATTTGTTATTCTGGCAATGCTGCAAAGAAATGAAATAATTCGGAAAAAGTACAAAATATCTTTTAGATAAATGTAAGTTTCCCAAGACATGCTTGGTTGGTGAGGGTATACAGTAGGGGTACTGGTACTGGTCATGTATATGTATAGTCTTTTGAATTAATGATCAGTTTCTACATAGAGTCCCTAAAGTCTGTCAAACTCGAAATTCGTCCCTAAGCCGTACATACTTTTGCAAACTCCCCCTCTCGATCCTTCAGTTTTATACTTACTAAAAAAAAGAAAATTGTGCACGTCGGATTTATCATGTTTTTGGTGTATCGTGAAACTTTAAGTGACATTGCTACATATTTTGAGACCCAAAACCATTGAAACCCAGCAAAACAAGACTCTTGCCGACTTTATACATGATCACATTGCTTAAAAGGGGAAAGGAGAAGTAGCGCAATGCGTCCGAAAAATGATTAACAAGACTATCCACATTCAAATAAATAATTCGAGGACGCGACACATGAGCAAATTCACCTAAATAGAAAAAGGAGCACAGGTTATCGCATTCTAAAATGGGATGGAGTTAGCATTTGATTGGCTAAATACTGCTCAAGGAATGAAAGAATGGGGAAAAAAGAAGGAATAAATGAAGAACAAAAGATAAAGCTAAGGCTGACATACGGGAACTCTTTTCCCCCATCAGAGGTGGTCAATGTGCGTTTATTATTCACGAGTTTTATGTCGTACCATACAAAAGAAAAAGAGCAGCATCGAGGCATATAATTGTCAGTGTCGGAAAGCAAAGCTAATGCGAGTAAATTGAGACTCAAATTACATAAGTAGTACTTCATGTTTCAGTAACAAACTGTACTAGCTAGGATGTCTTCAAGAGTTCATCAAAACTAATCAACCTTGTGTCGGGGCACACGCTATCATGCATAATCCGATGTCATCTCGAAAAAACAAAAATAAGTTTCAACCGCGTATGGCATGTTACTATCGAGGGGACTAATGAAGATTATTACCTTGACGAGTTACTCCATAGAGGGGTACTGGAAGGAGGATCCATGTCAGGATGCGCAGATCCATCTAGTATCTTCCTTTGATCGGCGACTCGGCGCAAGCTGTGGTCACTCGCGTTACACATCGGTGAAACATCCTCATCTCCGGACCCATCCGATTGGCCTTCAAATGTTTCGACCCAATTGATGAGTCGGTGCTTCAACACCATAACGTGCAACGCCTACAATGTCTATAAATGTACATGTACGGGGTCGTTTATATCGTGATTGTTTTGTTTTTCGCTATCCAAGGAGTTTTTTTATATGGGCATCCACAAGGAAAATATATATATATATATGTCATGTGTGAGCTCTACTAGGGAATAAAACAAAAATGAGGAGAGAGTGTCCGAATTTGTGCTTAGAAACATTACGGGCAAAGACACCCTAAGATTAAGGGAAGCGGAGGACTTTCTGTTTTCTTCTTTCTCTCTCTCTCTCTCTCTGTCTCTCTCTCTCTCTCTCTCTCTCTCGTGTGTGTTGCTTCTTGGCTTCTTTGTTCGGAAAAAGAAAAGTGAAGGAGAAGCAATGTGCGTTACCTGAGGAAGCTGCAGGTTTGTCAGTCGTCTTAACAGTTCGGTACATCTGCAAAAAAGTCATAAGGGTCGCAACTTTTGTTCATGACAAACTCAAGCAGAATACTATGCACTAATATTAATGTCGACAACAAAGAAAAGGAGGGAGAAAAAAGAAACGCTATAATAGTAATGCCCATTATCTCTCTCTCTCTCTCTCTCTCTCTCTCTCTCTCTTCCTGTCCATGGTCTTCTGGGCTTGTCTTGGATTCATCATTAATCACGAGGTTGACGTTTGAGAAAAGTTAGTAATGAGCTGTGTGTTATTGAAAAATGATGGCTTTTCGTTTGTCTGCTATCATCTTGTCATCTCTCTCTCTTTCTCTCTTTCTTTCTCTCTGAGAGCAAGAAAATGTCTGGTCTCAGTCATTCATGCTCTTATCGTAACAGTCCTTCAATTCATTCACTCGCTCGCTGCAATTTCTCAGGGGTGGTTTCGCTGAAGGGTCCACAGAAACCCTCACATATCATGAACACAGAGAGAGAGAGAGAGAGAGAGAGAGAGAGAGAGAGAGAGAGAGAGAGAGAGAGAGAGAGAGAGAGAGAGAGAGAGTTCACTTGCTTCTTGGAATTATTATTACCTGCAAATGGCTCTTGACATGAGCAAGGGTGAGATCTTTGACAGCCATGAGCTCAAGAACTGACTTCGGAGTAGCTCCTGAAAACTCATGAATATCAATTAAGATCACTGTGAAAAGAGATTTGAAACATGACACAAGACCACAAAAGGACGGATGCAATTGAAAACACATGATAGCCAAAATGGAAAGAGATTTCAGTACTTTCATGGCCTCCTAGGAGCTCGACGGCATGAACGAATTTGGCGTGGAGCATGCTCGTCCACCGCATCCTCGGGGCCCTCATGCTCCTCTTCACCGGGAGCTTCGGCACAAACCTCGATCTCATCATGCCATGTGAGGCCTCAGATGACCCGATGACTGCGTACTGACCGTGATGATGGTGGTGGTGATGATACTGGTGCAATTGGTAAGCTGACAAACCCCCAAATCTTGCCGTCCCTGGTATTTGATATCCTGATGACGATGCATCGGGCGTTCCAGAATTTAAGATTGAGAAAGGATTTAAGCTTCTACCAAGGTAAGGCGCCGGCGAGTGGAACGCTGTGGAGGAACACGATGACGAAGGTGAAATGGATGGTGACCAAGAGGAATAAGGCATTTGTGGGAGGCAAAACTTGGGATCCTTCTCTCTCGCGCTCTCCATGGGCAAGAACGGGAAAGAACGGTTCTGATAGACCGGGATCCCTTTGATCGGCCTGGTGCTGTCCATCACATCGACCGGAGAAACCCCGCTATTATGACCCTTTTGGTAAGGGCTATTCGGGAGCACATCTTTAGCTTCTACCGAGAAATTCATCCGACACCAGTTCTCGTTGCCGACGGTGGCATTCGCTGGGTGTGCTAGAGAAAGCTCGGTGTGGGCATGCGAGTCGACCCGCGCCGAACAGTTGCCCCTCGATCTGAGGGCTTTGCCTTTGCTCAAAAGATCGAATCTTTCGTCTCTTCCATTGATGCCGTGGCAGATTGACGCAGAGGAAGTGCTAGCGCTAGGCAGGCTTATGTGTAAAGAAAGATCAGGAACTGGGCTTGAAGAATGCTCAATGAAAACCCCTTCCAAGGGCATCTTTTTCCCTCAAGCTAGGTTTGGATTTCTCCTCTCCAGCTACTTGCTTTTTCTCAACGAGACTTGACAATAAAGAAACTAGAATTGAGCATGCATAAAAGGCTCAAATCTTGTAAGCGGATCTCTAGTCTTTTGCTTCTTTCCTTTTTCTTTTTCTCAGGTTGTGTGAGATATGAAAGGATATGCAGAGAAAAAAGCTCAAAGGGAGCAAGAACCTTAAATCTAGCGCCCACAACAGTTGGAGAGCAAGAACACAAGAGGGGAGAGAGATGTGATGAAGTAAAAAAGCGAGATATAATTCATCGCTTTTCACTTTCTTCAACAGACATGCTCAAAGAAAGAGAGAGAGAGAGAGAGAGTGAGATCAGGAAGAGAGAAATGGCTGGAGAAGAGACTGATATTGATGCATGTGCTTGTTAGCAAAGTAATGGACAAGAACAAAACAATGTATAAAATAAGAAGTCCGTAAAGTTCAACAGAGGAAGGAACAGTGGTGGGGAACCGAGTCCTTGTGTTTTCTCTTGGCCTCGCAGTATATCTAGGAAAGTGACACTAGAGAAGAACGTAAGGTCAAAACGCCCCAAATAATAATCTTTTTTCTATTGCAAATACCAACAGTACATAAAAACAAAAGAAAGGATATAAAGATGGTCGCTCCAGATTTTCATACACATCCCGGAGACGACGGAGTAAAAAAAATAATGAGAGAGAGAGAGAGAGAGAGACAAAAGAAACCCTCATGTGCGATTCCTTTTCCCCCACTCTTCGCTCCTCACCAGAAATATCCCACTATATTATTGGACTTTCTCTGTTTTGAATTTTACCAAAAGTCGCACCGGGGCAAGACGTGCTCATCTTCGATAGACTATACATAACACGAGAAAGATAATATTTTGGAATTGACATAATTTCTTCCTTGAGGTGTTTAGTAAAACCCTTTTGAAAAATAGTCCTTTATATTTAAGCTTGAAGGGGGAGGTATTTCATTGTTTGGACTCATTCGGGGCGATCTGCTAAATTATATGCGTAAAAGAAGAACAGCGAGATTCGACCTCATGAAAATCTCGTATTCATCTCATTAGATCATTCACAAAATAACAGAGGACTAATGCAAGATCTTGGCACACCAATATGAACAGCTCATCAACTAAGTAAAGAAATATGGGTGATCGTAAGTAGACCCATTGACCTCGGAGTGACTGATCGTTTGCTTTCAAAGGTAGACAAAGGGAAGCTCTATCTTAAATTATTTTTCTATGTAAACCTTCTAATTCTCTTTCCGTCCTCCCAAATATTCCCTTCTAATCTGCCTACCTCCTTGTCTGGCATTTCTGGGTTTTATTATGTCCTCCACGTGACCGTCCAAAACCCCATCTTAGCTTTTGTGCTAGGGCTTCCAAAACCCTAGGCTAAATCCAAAGACTATAATATATTTAAAAAAGCCCTCCTTTCTTATATATTTCTTTAAAATATAATTTCATTTACTCTCTCTCTCTCTCTCTCTCTCTCTCTCTCTCTTACTAAATTGCGGTTTTATTGAACATTGCCCCCCTCTTCATTGTTTCCCAGGAGAACACTAATTCAGAGATGGTACTTTGGATGGAGGAGGTATGGATCTTATCTGATAGAGCCCCTTGATTTCATTCAATAGGTTGCTCAAGTGATGGATATGAACTCATTTTTGAATCGAAGTACTCTCTCTCGGGGCAACCCTCTGATAATTACAACGTCTGTCGTGGCCTTGTCGTCACTAATAGGGATTGGTTGGGTTTTTGAAGATTTGTCCCTGTCGCAAGTCTTAAAAAAAAAAATGAAAAAAGAGTTTCTTGGTTCACAAAGTGAAAATCACCTCTTGCTGCATGAAAAGTTAATTATGATTAAACAAAATTTTCTGGTGTTGAATTGTATTATACTACCTTAGTCTACTTATCTAAAATAATATGAGGTTCATTATACATATGTATATATATTGCTTATTATAATGCCGATTTCTAAAACCATTCATGTTCATCCTTTCATATTGTTCTTGCTCTTATTTCATCATATGAAAATTTGGCACTACAAAAAAAATTCTAGAGATGAAGTTCTAATTTAGATAGAAAAATATTTCTTACGATGGACCGGAACCGCACATTGAATCCGTCGTATTATAGGACTTTGAAAAAAAAACTGAATTTGCATGTCTTATATGGAGAAAAACAATAGATCATGTTCACTCACTTCTACCATAGTTGCCTATACCGCATACTATCAATCTATTACTATAGTTAAATTATTGAATCATGACTTCATTTGATAGCTTAAATATCAACACGAATTTGTTATATATATTATTAGATATAGAAGGTTCTAAGTTTAGATATTAAATTTCCACACTTTACTCTTAGACTAATTTCAACCTACGTTTGAAGGGAAGTGTTACGATAATTTGAAAATTAAATCACAAATCACTAAGTTCGCTGTAGTACCAACATTTCATCAATCCGACCATCGACCATTACCATCAATAACCACTATCAAGTCCAAAACTATTTACTACCAGTCTCTTTCTAGCACTATTTTCCGTCAATCACCACGACTACCATAGCTCACCATACCTCTCCACGCTTTAATGAATGACTTGAGCATGGATTAAAATGAATGAAAAAGACCTAACAGAAAAGAGGGTACTGTATAAATAAACCAATAACTAATCATGTCTTGAATTGGACAACTTTTATCACAAGAAAATTCTGATATGGCTTGCCCAATTCTATAAATGCATTAAGTTCACTCTATTCCATAGCCATTCGCACTAATATGTACAAAAGATTAGAAGGGTTTCATTGTCCTACCATCAGATATTACCGATTGGGGTCGAATTGCACAATAATCACTAGTTCGATCCCCCGTTATTTATTCTAATTCCTTTTATGCTGTTCAAATTGTCTCATGCGAGCTAGCCAAATGATTATATGGCTCAAAATCGAGCTCGTTACTTGTTGAGATTGTCGCGAACAACTGTTGCCAGAGACGTGAGACGCAAATGCTTTTGGTAGAGAAAGTTCAAGGTTAAATTTACTCTCTGGAAGGACCTCCGCATGCACATCATTATTCCACTCCTTAGCTCAATGCATAATAATTAAGCTGGATCATCCACATTGTATCATATTGGATTACACTAAATTAATTATTCAGTTGTGGTACACAGTCTATTTCGGTTTGTTAAGTTGTTGTGTTGAAAAGACATTGATATAAATTTGCCTGATAGAATAGTTAGCATGAAAGGCCACCTAATATGCCCCGAATAGCAATAAAGACTTAGGACGCGTGATGTTCCCCTTTTCATAATGACCGCTTTGGAGGTGGCTGCTGCCACTTCGGATCGAGAATCGGGATCCCGACTTTATGGGGCTCGGATGTGAATATGGATGTTCTAACTCAGCAACCACTCTAGCTTCTCAATAGGACTAGTGCTTATCTACTTTGTTCCTTGGAATATTTGAGAGCCAAGTAGAAACCATACATCTAGTCATACCAACTCTTGCTTCTTTGCAATTCGTAGCTTATTTTGAAAATTCATGAATGGTTCAAGCATTTTTTTCATTTTTTTGTTGTGACCTTCCTAAGCAAAGTTTGATTGTAGATGAGCTGTCTCGATTGTACGTAACTTGTCCTCTAAAGTCTTTCTTAATTCAGTTCAATTGCACAAACGACATGAATATGTCAGGAATTGACCATATTGTAAACTACAATTCACACATTTTACCGCTGCACGGTTGAAATTTCATGGGAAAGGACAATGGCAGAGGAGTCCTTGAAATTGGACCAACAGTGTCGGACGACGAATCGAGTTCTACAACGACACACACGCACAAAGAAGAGATAGGAATCAATGTTGACGACAGCTTTGGGGAAAGTTTCTGTTGTGGGTGTGATATGAGCAGAAGATTTGCTCACATGTATGTCATTAATTGGTGGTCAGCTTGACAGGAATGTATGGTGGAGAATATGGAATAGCTTGTACCCATCATAATTTGCTTCACCCACAGATTTATACCCTTTATGTATGATCTCATTCCCCCCAACGACGCCCAGTTGCTTTCTAGACTAGTACGCATCTTTTTGACATAAGCACCCACCCTAGAAATATTTGACATGAACATTGGGGAGTGAGGTGGATTTAACCCTCGAATGATCGATATTTAAGCTTTAATTATTTGACGGCTCAACTTTATCATGTTTAACTAATTGACAGAAAAGACTCAATTCTTCAATAATCCAATACTCGAGCTCCAAAAACGTCCCTCACCTCTTCGATAGCTCGATCCAAACCGGCCTTCACACGTTAGCCGGCGCCCCCACCAGCCATAGGCACCACTATGCCCGCCATCGATGAGGACGTCAATGCTCTCCCCCCCAGATTTCCTGTCAACCCTACAGATATCCTGTGGCACGCTGTACATGATTTTGGCATAGAGAGAAGGGGGTGGAGGTGACAACAACAATGACAATCCTCCGATTCTTTCTAGCAACTAGAGCCCCGATGGGCGACAGCAATCGCCATCATAGATGGAGAAGAGCGAGAGAGAAAGAAGAGAGACATTGAATATTTTGACGGTGCGCTGATATTCAGGTAAAGTTTGAGTATTTTGGTCATCTAATTAAATATGGATCCTCAATAATTTGATTGCATGATATCCTAGTCAGTTGAGAAGTTACATTGAATATATCAATTTAATCACGATGAACGAAGAGCATTTCAATTTAGTACATTTGTATTCACATGTGTCTACACGAGCATTTGTTTTCTATTAAACCTAAATGCTTGGCCGTTGGACAAAATTTGTTCTCAAGTGTCTCTTAAGATTCGCTTGTGGAGAAGTAACTCCTTTCAAGTTCTCCTTTTAAGTGGATGACCCGACTTTCTCTTTTGACGATCCGGAGGCACTAACATCGAGGCCTGACTATACCAAAAGAACTATGAAACACATGACACATGAACCGTTTAAGTCTAGACCTTTAATCAGTGTCGGTAGGCTCGACCCAGAGAAGTTTGCATGTGGTTGATGAAGTTCAAACAAGTAACCTCCATTCCCTGATTGGAAATCTTCTAATACTCTAATTACCTACGCCAATCTTGGAGGTTTAACTCAAATTTGGTCTATTAAAATTTGGTTCATTAGGCTTGTCCAGATGGCCTGACTTTACTCTAACCAGGGAAGTGGTTTAATGAAATTTGGTTCAAATCATGAACTTATCGCAACACTAAAACCAAAAAAAAAAAGAACAACTACGTAAATATATTCTGTCTGTACTCCTTCGCTTTTTTAATTCCTCCCGACAGCTAGAATGAACAACAGGAAACCCTTCAGACAATCAAAATAATATAGGCAGAACAAATCATCCCTCTAGGGTAGATTTCCATGCGTTAGCTTTTTAGTCTTTTGGCTTTTCTTCTTTTTTGCATATTCCTTCTGTTTATATTATAGTTT